GGCTGCAGCAGCCCTGGCCTGAGGACAGGGAGAGCAGCCCCATGACCCCACTGTGGAGTTGGGCTTTCACCCCATGCCGGGAACCCTACCTCCCACTTTGCCTTTCCTGCCCTTCCATGCCCTGGGCTGCTTGCTTTCTTCAAGCCCTTTCCTCATGCACTGCCCTGGGTCCCATTGCCATGGGTCCCATCACCCTGGGTCCCATCACCCATCTTTCCACCACCCTGTGGGTCCAATCACCCTGGGTCCCATTGCTCTGGATTCTGCTGCCCTGGATCCCATCACCCTTCTTCCCACCACCCTGGGCCCCATCATTCTGGATCCCACCACCCTTAATCCCACTGGCCTGGATCCCACCACCCTGGGTTCCATCACCCTTCTTCCAACTACTCCGTGGGTCCAATCACTCTGGCTCCCATCACTCTGGATCCTGCTGCCCTGGATCCCATCACTCTTCTTCCCACCACCCTGGGTCCCACCACCCTGTGTTCCATCACTCTGCGTCCCATCACCCATCTTTCCACCACCTTGTGGGTCCAATCACCCTGGGTCCCATCGCTCTGGATCCTGCTGCCCTGGATCCCATCACCCTTCTTCCTACCACCCTGGGGTCCATCACCCTGAGTCTCATCACCCATCTTTCCACTACCCTGGGTCCCATCACCCATCTTTCCATCACCCTGGGTCCCATCACCCATCATTCTACCACCCTGTGGGTCCAATCACCCTGGGTCCCATCGTTTTGGATCCTGCTGCCCTGTATCCCATCACCTTTCTTCCCGCTTCCCTGGGTCCCATCATCTGGATCCCATCACCCTGGTTCCCGTTGCCATGGGTCCCATCACCCTTCTTCCCAGCACCCTGGGTCCCATCATTCTGGATCCCATCACTCTAAATCCCACTGGCCTGGATCCCACCACCCTGGGTTCCATCACCCTTCTTCCCACTACTCCGTGGGTCCAATCACCCTGGGTCCCATCACTCTGGATCCCATCACCCTGGATCTCACTGCCTTGGATCCCATCACCCTTCTTCCCACTACCCTGGGTCTCACCACCCCGGGTCCCATCACCCATCTTTCCATCACCCTGGGTTCCATCGCCCATCATTCCACCACCCTGTGGGTCCAATCACCCTAAATCCCATCGCTCTGGATTCTGCTGCCCTGGATCCCATCACCTTTCTTCCCACTTCCCTGGGTCCCATCATCTGGATCCCATCACCGTGGGTCCCATTGCCCTTGGTCCCATCACCATAGGTCCCACCACCCTTCTTCCCACCACCCTGTGTTCCATCACTCTGGATTCCATCACCACCCTTGGATCCCACTATTCTGGATCCCACCACCCTTCTTCCCACCACCCTGCGACACAGTCAGTGGGCACTGTGGGGTCAGGTTGGCTGATCTTAGAGGTCTTGTCCAACTGGAATGATTCCACAATTCAATGATTCTATGACATTGGGAGTGATGAAGAGAGGCTGTAATCAGGGGGACAGAAGAGGTGGCTGCAGCAGCACTGCACAACCTGTCATTGCAGTGGGCGTCGGGGTGTCCCAATGAGTGGCTCTACGTGTGCTGTCACCTTGGTGCCACGCAAACCCCACTGCTGAGCAGTGATTTCCTTTGGCAGAAGCATTACTGATCTGTTCCTGTCACTATAAAATCTTCCTGAAAGATTTTATAGCTCTCTTTGATGGCTTTTTATCCATTTTTCCCGGCGTTAGGATAAGACTCATTGGATTATAATTTCTGAGATTTTGAGTCTTTTTTCAAGATAAGTGATTTTTTTTTTTTCTTTCCTTCAGCAGAGAAGTTGATTTAATAAGAGAAAATGAATGTGAATGACTCTGCAAGTCTGTAATGGAGTTTGGGGGGCGGGGGGGATGCATTTTTTCCAATCACTCGGATCTGAAACATTATTGGGAGCTAATGAGGTACCAGAAGATTTGAGACTGGGGGGGTGAAGCCAGAATATTACTGACAATTACCATCTGGAGCGTTTAATTTCTCCCCGTGGTGAAATAACGAGGCAGGAAAAAAAAAAAAAGAAAAGAAAAAAGAAAAAAAAAAAAAGGAAAGAAAATCATTGAACAGCAAGGACGGAACGGAGCGGAGCGGAGCAGATGTGGCACTGCTGATGTCCTCCTGCAGCCACGCAGCACAGCTCTCCCCTGTGTCATCTCCGAGCTTCCTTCCTTGTAGAAGCAGGACTTCCTGCTGCTCCTCAGCTTCTTTTGGGTTGGAAGAGCCCTGTAGGATCACTGAAGTTGGGAAAGAGCTCTGAGATCCCCACTCTGACCCCAACCCATCCCACTGCCCACGTCCCCCAGTGCCACAGTGCTCACTGAACACCCCCAGGGATGGGGGCTCCCCGCTGCCCTGGGCAGCTGTGCAGTGCTGACGGCTCTTTGCAGCACAGGTTGTTCCCAATTCCAACCCCGTTGCACCCTGAGCCCATCCCCTCTCACCCCATTGCTTCTCCCTGGGAGCAGAGGCTGACCCTGCATGCGGAGCTGCTGGTGCCCGGAGCGTTGCAGCTCTGGGTTTCTCCTCCCGGCCTCCAGTCATTCCTGCATCAAATGCAGCCTCAACTGCTGACTCCCTGCTCTGCTTCCCCTTTTTTTGCCCTCTGCCCTTTGTTCCAAAGATATTTTTGCCTGCTCCCTTCCTGGCCGTTTGGACTCCATTGTCTCCTGAGCTGCCAGAGGTCTCAGCTGGGCTCACAGTGACTCAGGGCCATTCCATCCGCTTCCTCCCCTCTCCAGCCCCACCTCATCCCCTGACTCACAGCCCAGAGCCCGGCCTGTTCTCTACAGCCCTCACCTTTGCTGCTGATGAGCTGCAGCCCTTGGTCCCAGAGCCACTATCTCTCAGCCCCGTTGAGCTCTCCAAAGCAGCTCCCAAGCGCCTTTACCCAGAGCCTGGCAGACCCTGCACTGTGCATGGCGACCTCCCATTGCTCCCATCCCCTCTGTCTGCCCCACTGCCCTGCAGGGAGCAATTCCCAGACCCCAGGAGAGGTGCTGCGGCACAGGCAGCCCCACTGGGACGTTTTGGGGTTTCTGTGCTGCTGGGCACGAGCATAAACTCATACCTTAGAGCTGGCTTATGTTTGGGGGTGACTGAAACTGATGTCACTGTGCTCCCATCCAGACACGCAGACCTGAGCCGTGTTGGGGATGAGGGCAGCCCGTGCTGCAGGGAAGCTGCTGAGCCACAGCTCTCCAGCACTGCTGTGAAGGTGTGGGTGGCAGGAGCCCAGAGATGGGGCCAGTTGCTCCTGACATGTTCTCATTCATCACCCCTGACCCAGGATCTCAGTTTTGGGGCTGGTGCTGCATTCATGCTCCAGAACCCCTTGGGCTCCTGCTGTGTCCCAGGACTCTGGGTCCCCGGGTGCAGCCTCCCCTCTCTGTTCCCATCTCTGTTGCTGTGGATGCTTGGAGCTGATGAAGCTCCAGAGGGGAGTGCTGGGGGCCAGGCTGCTCGCAGAGCAGGGCTCTGGCTGGGGTGGGAGGGCTGGAGGAAGCACCATTACTCATTTCCTGGACAGATCCAGGCTGTACCGTAAATCTCTCAGCTCTCAGTGGTTTGGGGGCTATTTCTGTTTGAGGATTGTCATCTAGATTAAAGCCTTGAATCCCAGCCAGCCACGGACCGGACGCAGCCCCATGCACAGTCCTGCAGGGCTCAGCCCTCATCCATCTGCTGTTGGCAGGGTAGCCCCCATTCCTGCCCGGGAGTGAGGACCTGACTGCCAGGAGCTCTCCCTGACAGGAGAATGGGCAGAAATAGCTGCCCATGGTGTGGCTGCTTGCATCTGTGCTCCACGTGCGGGAGCTGATGGCAGCTGTGCTGCCAGCAGAGCCTGGAGGTGGCAGCTCCCACTGGGGCAGATCTGTCTGTCCCCAAAGCTGGGTGCTGCTGTGCACTGTTGTCCAAATGTGGGTGCGTGTTGGTTGGTGTGCATGGCCTCGTCCCAGCACTGACAGCCTCAGGGAGCTCACAGCGGGCAGTGCTTGGGCACCCACAGGAGGAACAGTTTGTAGGGCAGGAACCGAGGCTGTGTTTTAACTCAAGGCAAAGTGCTGAGCCCTGCTTGTTCTGCTGGTGTCCAGCCTCCTTCATGGGGATCTCCTTCAAAGGGGCCAGGCAGGCACTCCAGGAGTGATGGTGTGTGAGTGGAGATGGAAAACCAGCGTTGCAGATGGGGCAGAAACCGTGGTGGTGGTGTGGGGATGGGATGGGGCACATACATGGGTGATGGCATGGAGAGAAGGAAGCTGATGGGTGCAGGAGCAGAGCCTGGGATGGATGTGCGCTCTGCCCCCAGCACAGTGTCCGGCCCCAATGCTCTGGGTGTCCCTGTGTCTGTGGTGGGGCTGCCTGCTCCCTGGGATGAGGAGGGGTCTCTTCTGAGTGCGAGTCACTGCCACGGGATCGATGCGCACCCTGGCACCTACACAGGATGGGGGTTGGCCCCTTGCTGGGAGGGGGCCATCACAGAATCACAGAATGACAGAATGGCCCGGGTTGGAAGGGACCTCAAGGATCACGAAGCTCCAACCCCCCCCCCCCCCCGCAGGGCCACCAACCTCCCCATTTCATAGCAGCCCAGGCTGCCCAGGGCCCCATCCAACCTGGCCTTGAACACCTCCAGGGATGGACGGGGCATCCCCAAAATGTCCTTGGGATGGGGATTCCCCTGTGGGGTGGGGACGGTCCTGCACAAGACCCTGGGCATGAAGATCCCCATTGGGGGTGTCCCTGTGAGATCCCTGCCATGGGGTGTAGGGGTGTCCCCACAACGATTCCTGCTTTGTGGGGTCGGGTTCCTCACGGAGAGACCCGAAATGAGAATCCCTTTGTATAGCGGGGGGGGCGGGGGGGTTGGGGTCTCTGCATGAGGGAAGCCCGTGTGCCGGGGGGGGGGGGGGAGAAGAGAGGGTCCCACCGGGGATGCACGGCGCGGTCCCCATTCACCGCCTGTCTCCCGCAGGGCCCCCGGGGGGGCTGTGAGCGCGGCCCCCGGTGCCGGTGCCGGTGCCGGCCGCCCCGCCGCGCCGCACGGAGCATGCCTCTGAGCCCCGCCGGCAGCAAACATGAGAGCCCGGAGTCGCCGCCACCAGAGCCGCCGCCGCCACCGGAGCGACAGCCCCGCGCCTCCGCCGGGGAGCCGGGCTCCGGCCTGCGGGAGGAGACGCGCCTGGACCCGATCCGCGGCCCCGCCGGGCCCCGCTCCCCCAAGCTGGCGGCCCCGGCGCGCATGGAGGAGCCCGCGCCCGGCGCCATCGTCGTCCGCATCGGCATCCCCGACCTCCAGCAGACGGTGAGTGCGCGCCCGGCCACGACCCGCACTGCACCGCATCGCTCCCAGCCCCGCACCGCGTCGCACCGCTCCCGGCCCCGCACCTCACCGCACCGCTCCCGGCCCCGACCCACACTGCGCCTGACCCCGCACCGCCGCGCACCTCACCCGTCCCCGACCCCCCTCTCCGACGCTGCCCGGCAAACTTCGCTGTGCCGCGGCCGCGTACGGGGCCGGAGGGACGGCTTTCGGTGCTGCTGCGCTGCCGGTGCTGCTGCGTTCCCCCGCTCCCCACCTCCCCGCTCCCGCTGCTCGCGGAGCAGCGCAGGGACGCACAGGGCTGCGGCGAACCCTTTCCCCGCTGCGCTCCGGGGCCAGCAGCGCACCGCCAGCTGCCCGGGAAGGGGGCACGGGGCTGGAGGGGGGGAGGGGGCACAGCTCCGACGCCAGCTGTGCCGCGGGTACCGGGCGGGTGCTGCGGTGTTGCGGCGTTGGGGATGGTGATGGATGGTGCGGGGTGCCCCGGTGCGGGGACGGCAGTGCGGCAGGAGGAGTGGGCGCGTGTCACCGGACGGGAGCTGAGGTGGCACCGGGCATCGAGCTGTGCGCCATGGGGAGCTGAGACAGAGCGGGTGGTGCTGGGGGCGCGGGGAGAAGCGTGTGCTCGGGGGCAGCCGTGGTCAGGGCAGAAGGATTGCAGTCACCGTGGATCTGATCTAATGAGGGCGCAGTGATGGGGCAGCAGCTCGCCTGGAGGGGGCAGGAGGGGCTGCGCTGCCTTTGGATCGGATGGGTGCCGCGCTGCTCCTCTGCAGCCCGGAGCAATGCCCTCGGGGACTGGCTTTCAGCTCCCCTTGCCAGCCCCGCCACACCGGCTCCTCCTCCCTCGGCCCCGTTCCCCTGTCCGCAAACTGAGGCGCGGAGGACCCGGTCCCCATCCTGCTGCAACGCTGCTGTGTGACACAGCGTGGTACGGGGTCTGGGGGGGGGGGACAGCCATAGGGATCTTGCGTGGTGTCCATCTCTCTGCCTCCCTGTTCTCTGGGCACTGTCTGCACCCCACTCCTGCTTGGTCTGTTGGGGAGTGTGCTGGGTGCTGGGGTCAGCTTGCTGATGGGGCTGGTGTGATTTTGGGGTCGGTGTGGTGCTGGGGTCAGTGCTGGGGTCAGCCTGGTGCCGAGGTCGGTGTGGTGCTGGGATCAGCCTGGTGCTGTGCCATACTCCCACCCCTCGCCCCCTGCAATCCTGTGCTGCATCCAGGGCTGGTCCCGAGGTGAGGTGAGGCAACGTGGCTGTCCCAGACTCAAGTCCCCGAGCTGTGGGGGCAGTGAGCTGTGCCATGCAAAGCAGAGCATCTTGGCATGCATGAAGCGGGCTTTCCCATCCCATATCTCACTTCCCTGTCGATGCGTCTCCAAGAGCTGATGAAACATTTCAGGGCTGTGTTTTGGGAGCCAGAAGAGCCGGAGCCTCTGGGGAGCTGCGATGCTGAGGACGTTGCTCTGTGCGATGGGGATGTGGAGCAGGGCTGCGGATGGGAGCATGGCTTGCTGGCATCTCAGCTCCAGCGTGGCAGCGAGACCGGCCCTCGAGTTTGCAAGTCGAGCTTCCCGGCTCTCCTGGGGTTGTCTCCAAGGCTCTTTTAGGTTCCTTTGCAACTCTCCATCACTTCTTTTGTGCAGCTGAAAGCCTTTGAATTCACCGTTAGTGGGCTCCATTGTTAGGAGAGCATCTCCACCGCGGGCGGTGACCTCGTGTCGGGGAGGGCACGCTTTTCAGGCAATCGGCGCTTTGCGTCCTAACGGCAGGTCGGCGCCTCGGGTTAAACACTCTGAGCGGCCTGCAGTGGGGCGCCGTGTGGGTTGAGAGGTGAAGCTGCTCTGCAACCGTGCAGGAGCTGGAGAGTGGCCCCGGGGGACGGGAGGGACAGGAGGGATAGCAGGGACTGCAAGGTGGTTTCCAACTGCAGACACAGCTGCAGAGAGCAGGTGGGGATGCGGCAGGGGGATGCAGGAACGAAAGCAGAGGGGCTGCACTGGGATGGAGAGGCTGCACAGCTCAGTGACCAAAAGGAGAGCCCTCTTCATGCTTTGCAGAAGGAACCGGGGCATTCCCCAGCTTCACAACCAAGCAGCAAACCCCTCAGGTTGCTGATTAGGGGAGGCTGTGAACGATCCCTTTGTGAAGGGCAGAATGCGTGGGGCTGTGGGCACGGGGTGCCCTGCAGGGGTTGGGGTGGAGGTGGGGTGGCAGAGGGCAGTGCTCAGCGCTGCTCCTCCACGGTGCAGCATCTGGGACTGCGGTGAGGAGCCATGCAGTGCCTGCAGCTGCGTGTGCTGCAGAGAGCTCCTCTGGCCTGCAAGGCTTTCTGCTCAGCTGGGTGTTTTGGCAGCACCCTACGTTTCCCGTCCCCGTTCCATTCTCTTCCCACAAGGGTTTTGCAAAGCATTTCCTCGCTCTGGATCACAGAGTGCTGAGGTATCGCCCAGAAGCTGCTGTGAGGGTGGGCACTCTGCTGAGACCCCCCGAGGCTGAATGGAGCTGGGGCAGCTCGCACCCATGGCCTGACAGCAGGTAGAAGGGCAGTTAGTGCAGGAGCTCGTGCTGCAGCACGGCCCTTGGGCTGCGTGGCAGCTGGGGAAGCCCCAGAGGAGCCGGATTGCCTGCATCCTGTGGAAGGATGTCCTGCAGTGATGCATCCTTCCTGCACTGGGGTCTGTGCTGGGGGGGTGGGGTCTGCCTGCGTGAGGCTGCAGGGGGCCTGGGGTGTCCCCGTGCTGAGGGATGGAGCTGCTTGTCCTCCTCTGTGGCTTCATGAAGGTTCTGTGGTCCCTCTTCTCAATCTGGATGCTTCAGGATAATATTTTCTGCCTTGTTATCGCCTTAATGCAAATGAGGAAAGAGCTTGAAAAACAGCGCACAGAACATTGATTCTTCTGCTAAGCCAAGGGAAACCGAGGAATAAATTTTCCTATTATAAAAGAGAGAGAGGCAAACTTTTTCCTGGACTCCTGCCCAGCCAGGGCTGAAGGTGAGAAGGAAGGCTGAGGGAGAGGGGTTGTGTTGGGCCATTTTTGTGGGGTTTGGTGTGAATTCAGTGTGGCACAAGCACACGTAAGCGACTGCGGGATGCAGATGTGTCTGCAGCAGGGTGAGGTGGGGATGTGGTGGCTCCGAGCTGTGGCCAACAGATGCCACTGCCCGACTGGGTTCCCACCACCCCTCTGAGCCCCTACCACCCAATTGAGCCTCCCACCATCTGACTGAGCCATCTGCCTCCAGATAAGCCGTCCTCCACCCAACTGAGCCCCCAACAACCAACTGAGCTGCCCACCACCCGTCTGAGCCACCGCATCCCAACGAAGCCCCCACCGCCCCATTGAGCCTCCAGCTTCCCAACGGAACCCCCTCCACCCATCTGAGCTCCCACCACCCAATTGAGCCATCCGCCCCCCAACTGAGCCTCCCACTGCCCCAGCTGAGCCCCCAGCACTCCACTGAGCATCCCCCATCTCTCCACTGGGTCACCATCACCCCACTGAGCCCCCCTACCACTCCTCTGAGCCACCACCACCACCCTGCTGAGCAACCACATCCCAACTGAGCCTCCCACTGAGCCCCCACCACCCCAATGAGCCCCCACCACCCCGCTGCCCACCACCTCACTGAACCACCCCTACCTCACTGAGCAACCACATCCCAAGTGAGCCTCCCGCTTTTCAGCTGAGCCCCCCACCACCCAACTGAGCCTCCTGCTGCCCATTGGCAGCATAGGGCCATGCAGTGCTGCCTGTGCCTCGGTGCCATCCTGTGGGGTGGGCTGGGGGTCTGCGTGCAGCTTTATTGTTGGGGTCTGGATGCTGCAGTGGGGCTGTGTGATTGAGGGACCTTGGGGCTGATCAGGTTGTTTGCAAGAAGGAGTTGTTCTGTCTGCAAGAAGAAGGGCTTTTTTGTAGAGTACGCTGTCTGATGCTCTGCTTCCTAAAAGACAAACAGAGGAGTGGTGGGGACTGTAGGAAATACCTACAGGCACATCAGAGCCAAGAGTGCCACTGCTGCGTGCTGTGTGCCATGATGACTGCACAGCACAGGCCTTGGGTATGAGGCTGATGCAGCCAGCTGTGGGTGCCACGTGCTGAGCACCCTGGTGCTGGTGTGGGTGCCTTAAAATCACAGAGTCGTGGAATGGTTTGGGTTGGAAGGGACCTTCAAAGGCTGTCTGGTCCCATGTGAGGAGGGACCCCTGCAACTCCATCAGTGCTCAGAGCCCCAGCCCCATCCATCCATGAGTGTCTGCAGGGATGGGCAGCAGCACCTCTCTGTGCAACCTCATTGCCCTCAGCATGAATCGTAGAACCACAGAATGGCCTGGGTTGAAAAGGAGCACAGCGCTCATCTGGTTCCAAGCCCCTGCTGTGTGCAGGTCGCCAACCAGCAGCCCAGGCTGCCCACAGCCACATCCAGCCTGGCCTCCAATGCCTGCAGGGATGGGGCATCCACAGCCTCCTTGGGCAACCTGTGCCAGTTCCTCACCGCCCTCTGCATGAAAAACTGCCTCCTCATATCCAACCCAAACCTCCCCTGTCTCAGTAGTGGGGGAAGACCTTGCCCCTTATGCCCAGTCTCAATCTCCCCTCTTTCCCCCTTGCCCCTCATTTCCCCTTGTCCTATCACACAGACTCCACCAAGAAGGGCAGAACCGCTGAGCTCATAGTAGCAGAAATCAGGATGAAAAGGGTGAATGAAACCATCCTTTGTGCACGTGGGGAGCAGAAAATCCAGCAGTGAAAATGGTAGTGAAAACCTGCCGGTGTGCGTGTGTGCGTTGGGCGACTCCCAGGGCTGTGTTGCTCTGGGGGGGTGCTGGGTGCTGGTGGGGGGTGAGGAGTCCCTGCTCTCCCAGTCAGCTCTGTGCTCTGATGTCGGGCAGGTCTGCCCGCTTACAAACCCATGCAGGGGACCGTGGGCTCCTCAGCATCAGGATACAGCGGCTGCAGCGGGATCAAAGCAGGAGGAGGAGC